CGGATTGCCTCAGTCTTTTGCGACAAAATCAACGCAATTGTGGAAAACTCGTCAAAGATAATCCTTCAAAGAAGACCGATCAACAAAGTGTGATTTATGAGGTAAAGTAAGCCTGGGACAAGTTTCGTTTTGAAATTAGCTTTTGTTTGGTAAATATCGTATGACTCTTGGCTTTGAACGGTCTCTTTACTTAACCTTTTAAGGTCATCGGCAAAGTGCGTGTTCGATCAATTCCAGGATCTGGGAAATTTAAGCCTGGTATGTAGCTGGTCTTTTCGCTTACAATGATTACAACGTGTTAGACGGGAAGCTGTGTAGAAAACTAATCAAAAGCACTTCTGCGATTTCCCTAAAAGGTCCCCTTATAAATTGGTGTTGTTTCAAGTTGGGATGAAAAGCATTCTTGTTTAGTACGTGCCTGTGTCTGCGGACTTTATCTGACGCAAGAACAAGGCGATTTGTGATGCAGGAGAGGCTCCCCCATAGCTCTAAACATGTCTTCTGCCTGCGGCACTTCCACCACGGACAGACATATCAGCGGTGGCGAATAGAAAACGACGAAAGAACCAATCAGATTCGCGGATTTCTAATTACACAGTTGAGTGGTTCAGTATTAAGACATGGCATTAGTAGCCACTCGGCTGCGTTCTGTTGGAAATACTCGTATCTGATTGGTTCTCGCATTGTTTTTATTTCGCTAATAAACAACGCGCCGCAAAATTGGAGTTTGTGTGCTGTAATCCCTTAATGTATCTCTTAAAACAATTAGACCTCTCGCCCTCGTTCTTGATGAGCGACAGTTAACGCGGTTACGCGTCGTTTTGACTATTCGCTCATAGAAAACTCAGGTTGATAGTCTAATTATTCATTACTTTAAGTGCCAGTCCTCTGCTCCTTTCGTGTATAATTTCTAGAAGGCGCCATACCAACGAAAGGCATTCAGTAACAAAACGACCGTGCACCACCGTCAGTTATATCCCGTTTTTATTTTTTTATCAAAACTTTTCCCTAGTTTGCCGTAAATATTTGCAAGGGAAATTAGAACCCCCAAAATATATTCTGGAAGAAAAAGGTAATTAGTGGCTGTTAACCATAATATAAATTTGAGGGAAAACAATTCGTTAAAAATTACATATCGGGAAACGTTTTGCGGCGTAGTTCTGGATATGGTTGCAAGCATCTCTTGTCGCCAGTTATCCCTCGCTTAAAAAAATTTCCTGAGGTGTTCAATATATTCGATATTCAGCGGCTTCAATGCAAAACAGTTATTCACCCGGCTTATTTAACAGTCAAAAAACAGACATGACAAGCCAGTCTTTTGTGATACCGCGGTTTTTATTTAATCCGGAGACATGTAGTAGCGGACGGGAAAACAAAAGTACCTTATGAGATTAAAGAAGAGAATCATGACTCGGCCGAGTAGTATGTCACAAACGGCAATTCAGGTTCATCTATTGAAAGAAAAATTTCAAGTCGGCCGACTCAATGACTCTTACGACGCGAAATACAACTGGAAAATTCCTTATTCTGAATAATCAGTGTTCAATTTATCATTATATTTCAACAAGACAACTGGATATAAAGATAGTGTATGTGTTGGGATGACCTTTTTCTGTTTCCAGTTGCAGCTGTTCGCACCTTTTAGATCCTATTTTACTTATGGCCTTTAATTAGGAGACCTTTCCACATAAATGGAATTAAAAAGGATAACACAAGTGCGGAGGCTTTTTAGCATAGGTAGCCACATATCATTTTCAATATTATGTTTGCCTGAGGAATCATGAAAAAAAAAATGATAGATTGAAAAGACAAACCG